GCACATAAGGAAGGGAAAGAGGCTCCAAGATAATTGATCCATCTGGTAATTGAAAGCCAACTACTACTTCAAAGGCATGCCTTTATTTCAGGGCTTAAAGCAGTTTGAATTTTTTTCTAAAAGCATCTCTTTACATGTACATTTACAACACATAATATATATATATATATTTATAATAATAATAATAATAATAATATAATATATGTATATTATATAATATGCATACATTATATATTATAATATATAATATATGTTATAATATAACACAATATATTATATAATATATATATATATTATAATAGAGAAAAAAGGCTTTTTGGAAAGGGGAATAAAAAATATACAAGAACTTAACCATAAGGGAAAGAAAAAAGAGAAAAATTATAAGACATTATACAGCATCCACATAACAAATCATAATGCTTTCTCATCTTGGCAATAAATGCACTTAACAGAGAATTTAGCATGAATACCAGAAGATGTGCACCAAAAGAGCTTCCAAAGATAAAGAGGATGCCCCCAATTCCCTTCAAAGCAATTTCTGCGGCAACCAAATGCTTAATCTGAAAAAACAAACAGATGGGTATCAAAATAATGAAAGTTCAAAACCCAGCTGTACAGGTAATCCTTTGATACTATGACCCTCCAAACTACTAAGCTCGAGGGTAGAAACCAAGGCTGACTGCTGCTCCTAAAACATAAACAAAAGAAGCCATATTCACCTCAATTTCCGGCACTTGAAACCCAAGGGAAGATGTCACGTGATTTTTTACGAGTGAATATTTGGGTTCCAATAGCTTTACAGCAGGTCCACCATCATCAGCGAATTCATTGAACCTGAAAGAATAACCATCACATTTACACAAATGAATTCAAGCTATCTATGAATATTCTGTGTAATAACTATTAAGTAATCATAGCAGGACTGTTTTAATCCACCAAAGGCTGTGTGTTTGAACAACTAAGGAACAGGCGATGCTCCAACCATCGGTTTGCAAATTCCAAGTTCTAGGAGTAAGATTAGATACATATGGTTTATGAGAATTGAGCACGTCTAAACTCTGATCCCTTGCACATGTAAGCAAGAGTAAAATGCATATGAAAGTTTATGGGAAATTTGTACTAGATCTAGCAAGTTCAGAACTTCAGATTGTTTCTTTCTCTTTGACACAAGTAGGTCGCCTCCAACAAAAGCGTAATGCCTCACAGTTGATCCCAGGCACTGAGGTTTCTTTGTCATGAGATTGAAGTATTTACTCAAGCAAGAATATGACAACAACCAGTAGGGTCGAACCTATGCAATTTCTTTCAAAATGATCATCCCATCGTGTAAAACACAAATTTCACTACTGTATTTACCAGTGACTATATAAAATCATTACGTAATGACATTTCTTAGTTGTAAAAATATCTGAAGGTTTGGGGTATGGAATACCTAATCACTAACCACCCCAAATGCTAGAGATGATGCCCACATGCGTTTAAGGTACAAAGGTCAATCCAAAGTCAGTGCTGACAATTATGGCATCTGATATTTTTACAATAACCTCACTTCACAAAGATCAAACGTTCAGTAGAAAGAACAAGTTGATACCTTGCTTAGGGCGACACAGTGTCTCCTCGTCAATAACCGTCAGTCATTGGTTGAAATGCATATCACACAGTGCATCTATTTTCTTTAAATTCATTTTTTATATTGTCAACTATGATATAGGAAAGCAATGGAAATGTCAACACCAAAATTACAATCATGTATCAATAAGAGTAGCATCACTTAAATTTTCTTGATGAACACCAAATGCATTTTACACATAAATTATCTCGTTCATATCGTATAAACCCCTATACAAGGAGTAACATCAATGTCATATCAAGAAAATACCAAAATTAGAGAGTAGTATTAAAATTCACAACCTTAAGTGGGCATCAATAAATATAGTACTAATTAATTCCAACAGTAATGTTCAGCAGAAATGCCACAGTATCCACCCCAGATACAGTTTTTTGTGAGTTGCTGTAAAATTCGCCGAGTTTGCAATAGTCTCTTGCAAAATTAGTAATAATCTAGAATCAAGAAATAAAAGAGAATATTCCATGAGCTAAAAACTCAAACAATAAGGACGGTCATCATCATCATTTTAGCCTTTTCAATATTAATTGGGACCGGCTACGTGAATCCCGGTTCTCCATTATGCAATAAAGATCATATCCTCAGTGAGGCCATAAGTCCCCATATCTTTTCCGACTACTCTCAACCACGTCCTTTTGGGCCTACACCTTGCCCTTTTTCAGTCCTTCCACTTGAATAAAGAGGGTTCAAGAAGGATGTTCCAGAAGAGAAGTTGAATCCAGTCCCTCAGTGTTACAGCAATCCACAGTCCCACCATAGGAAACAACAAAAAATATACGCACCAAAGAAAAACTAAATGAAAACAGAGGATCTGAATATATGGACAAAGAAGTCGTCACCATAGCTTCCCACCATAGATGAACTAATGTATGGGAAGAGAGAGAGAGAAAGGGAGGGAGGGATAAAGTGAGATCTGCAGTAAACAAGGATCAAATCCGTAAGCAGAGTGACGGCTTAGACAAGGAGAGAAAGAGAGGGATGGATTAGAGATAGAAAAAACTCTTCTTATTTTTTTGACAAGGTTACATAGGAATGGAACTTGAGACGTTGTGCTAGCCTCTACCCTCTTGACCCACCCCATTCCTTAAAAAAAACTCGTATTAATGAACAACGATGAGCAGTTTATCATGTCCTTCAAACCCAACGCTCATGTGAGAGAGAGCGAGCCCAAACGCGAGCCACAGAGAGAGAGGAATCTCATACATAACTTAGAAATCAAGCAAAAAGATCAATACAATACAAAAGTGAAGAATACACAATAGACCTAAGATAAGATTAACATAGGAACCCTTTTACATCGAAAGAACATGAATGAAGTCATCTGAAACCAGTATATCTAATCTTAGCACAATATTACTAAAATAAGATAAACAAACAACAAATAAGTCACTCTTCAAAAAACAAATCACTGGGCTTCCATTTGGTAACTCAAGCCATTCTTTCTCAGTTCTCACCTTTGCCAAGCAGCAAGTATAAAAATCGAAGAGAACAAAACTCTCCCTGCGAATGATATGAATCCCATTTCCGCCTAACCCTTTCCAGCAAAAACCGCTTCAAATTCTAACCAAATGTCTCCAAATTCCGGCACAAACGAACCACACCTCAAATAAATTCGGTTAAGGTCCCTTCCAAATCCGGCCAAAAACCCTAAAACCAGCAAAGTCCGGCCAAATTTCCGCAATCGGCCGGAAACCTCCTTTCCGGCGAAAACAAGCTAAATCTCGGGCTTTGACAAACCCTAGATCTGCGATTTGAAAGGCGCAAGCGAAAGCCTAGATCTCCATCAAAGGGAGGGAGAGAGAGTTTGTGTCGAAAAAGGAGTGAGGCCAAGTGCACTTCTCAGCGAACTCCACGCCTGTGTGTCCTTGGCACAGATCTCGACTTCTTTTCCGGCATTTGTAGGGGCGATTCGGTGGTCCGGCCCCTTTGTTTTATTGAAATTCTAATATCCTGACCGTTGATTTTGTCGGGGAGCGATGGATCTGGCGGCTGGGATCTATCGGCCACGTTGCAAGGTCAGTGTCTGCCCTTTCTCTCACGCGAGCGACTTTAATTGCCACGACTGTCTGTCAACTGTTTCCGAAATATCGACAGCACCCCTGCTTTGAATATGACCGTTTTGTACCTGGTCTCTTCATTGACATCAGAGGGGCTATTTTTTTTTTTTTTTTTTTTTAAATTTTTGTTTTATTTTATTTTATTTTTATTTTTTAATTTTTTTTTTTTATAGATGAGGTTTTTATAAAGATTAAGCTTTATGAAAACAAAATAAAGCCCTACCTTAAATCCTTGTTTGGAAAATAATTTCTGTAAAAAAAAAGAAAAAAAAAAAATCTTCATAATAGTTTTAAAATCAATTTCCAATACTGATAGTCAATTTTTAAATTAAAAAACTATGCAGATCTTGTAGATCTATAAATATTTATTTTTATGTTAAGTAGACAGTCTAGATAATTTGTTGCAATATATATTATTTTTAAAACTTAAAATTCTTTTTTTTTTTTTGGCAACATTAATGTTCAAGCTGAGATGATCAATATAAAGGCTTTTCAATATTTAAATAATAATTTTCGATGAGCTATGAGCTGAGGCCTTACTTACTTTGATTGGCCCATGGCCCTATCAAAACATTTCCTTTTTTTTTATGAAGTTTATCATTTTCACCTTCTTATAAATAAAACGTCACTCCATATGGGAAGTTGCATGGAAATTTCCTGCGACTTTCTCTTTTATTTTTTATTTTTTAAAAGGTTAAATAAACTTTATATATAATAGTGGGTTAGAAGGATGTGAGAGTGCCTCATAAGGGCAAATTTTTTCTTTTTATTGAGCACATATATTGTGCACTTGCAGGAGCAATGTTGTACATCTGCTCACAGTTAAAAAGTCCCATCTAGGAGGGTTTTTTTAGTCTAAAATTTTGGGAACTATCTAAGAATGACTAGTTAATTATTTTTCAAAAAAAAAATTAAATTTTGAATTTTTTTAATAGTTAGCTCTTTTAAAATTTGAAATGTCTCTGTTCAATATTGAGACATTGTTATTTTTAGTATATAAATAATACAATTTGGAAAATTGTTTTTACTTAGGTTAGTTTATGAGTTGAAGATGTTATATCTCTATGAGTTGAAGATGTTATAACTCCATAATTTGAGTCTTACTCTAAGCTTTACCTGAGGAAGTAGGTGGACTACACTACTGCAGGAATATAAAATATTTTGCCTTATTTATTTATTGCTTTCTCTTAGGGGTTGGGCTTATGGGAAGTAACATGAAAATTACCCCTACAATATTTGATGGCCCCCCATATTTTTATATTTACAGATCGTGTATTTAATATTTTTGCAAAGAAGTTAGTACTTAATATCACTACTTAAAGAGAGTTGACACTTTAATCTTTTATATTACTTCAATTGCAACCACAAACCATTAGAAGGGGACTTCTGAGCCTTTTTAGGGTTAGTAGGAAAAGTGAAGCAATTCAGTGTTTTGACCAATTGGAAAAATATTTTCTAATTTTTTTAAAAAATAACATTAATAAAATATAAGCATTAAAATATATTAAAATAACAAAAAATTAAAAGATAACAAAATACTTATGTGTTTCGGCCAAAGAGGCCAAATCAGACTGAAACAAAGACATTGAAGTTTTGTTTCATTTCAGTCTAGGCCAAAAATCTAAAGACTTCGGCTTTCTTTAGCCAGCAAAGAAAATCTAATAACATTGGAGAAAACACAAAAATATCACGTAGAGCATTATTTGCAATGAAAATGCATAAATAAAATAAAAATTGCTCGACTAACCATTTATCTAAGGTAAATATTATATGAGTAAGGGGATGCACGCCTTCTTTGTGCATCAAAATGTTCATCTTTAAAATGGACATTAAGAAAAGTGTGCCCAACTAAACTTTGGAATGAACAGGTGCAATAAAATCTTAAAAAAAAAATTAATAATAAAAAATAAAAAAACACTTTGCAAATTATTATTATTATTATTATTTTCAAAACCACGATCATTATGATGTAGATTGTAGATCCCTAAAAATTTGGACCTAAATTTCATATCTAGGATAGATTTTAGAGTGGGACACATCTATGAGTCAACAGTGAGCAATCCTTCATCTAATGTCAATTTTTAAGTCATTACCGTCACCATTTGAACCTTATCCTAATTATTGAAAGGGAGTATATACAATGACACCATTTACTTTTAGAATAGGGACGTCACAATTACTTACAACCATATGATGTGAAATCTGATAGCTTGAGTTTGTCACAAAATTCTAGAATCTTTTTTTAAAAAAACTTTGAGCTTGGTCAATAAAATAAATGCAGCCACCCAATTTCACATCCAATGGTCAAGACTTATTGTGACCACCTTGTAGCAAAAGTAAATACTCTCATTATATATTTTCCCTTATTTAAAATACAATTATAAATATCTGTTGATACTTTAGTTAAATTTGGGTAACTTTTTGAATCATAGTGTAGTAAAATATTTCAAATATATGTAATAAGCAAATTTTTTGCATGAGGAAAACGTATACAAAAAGACCATTTACTTTTCTTACAAGGAGGTGACAAGTACTCTTGTCAGTTAGATTTTAAATCAGATGGTTGTAAGAGTGTCATTGACTGAATTCAAAGTTTAAAAATAATTTTTAAAACTTCGTAAAACATTTCAAGCCATCCAATTTAACATCTAATGACTAGGATTAGTTATGACCTCTTTGTAACAAACATAAAGGGTCGCATTATAATCCCTTGAAAGAGTCACGGGTTAATGGAGGAAAATTTCCAATAGAACATATTTCTTGCTATAAAAGATGTCGTTAGCATGTGGCCAAACCCGCACATGGAAAAATGTGGGCCCCTTAATAAATTTATTTTTGAAATAGAATTTGATCCTAATTTTTAGAGAATGACATTGTTAGTATTGTAGAAATACGAGCTTGGCAATAAATATATTTTTTTAATATAATTTGATCCTAATTTGTAGAGAATATAATATCTTTAACATGGAGATCATGAATATGAAAAATAAATACATTTTGAAAACTAAAAAATTAATTATATTAAGAAATTTGGACCATAGGTACAATTATTTTTAGATGGATTTATACGTCTAAACCACATATTGTAGAAATGTGGTCCAGCCCGAACGAAACAATCGTTCTTTAGAGAATATATAATTTTTAACATGAAGATCATAAATATAAAATAATAAATAAAATTTAAAAATTATAAATAATATTTATATTAAAAAAACATTTAGACGGTCAATTTCAATTGCTTTTGATAGACCACCTGCTTGCATCCATATTTAAGATGCATGGTTTATGCTCTTGGACCATAAATGCCGTCCAGCACATTGCTCATTACATAAACCTATTTGGCATGAAAAACTGGCACCAGTACAACCCATTCACGTGGAGCCAAGATAATATGAATTTTATGTATACAATGAGTTCTTACTACAGGCCTATTGTGCACTTCTTCCCTTGCATGAAAGGGCAAACTTAGGATGATCTATTAGATCTGAAAATTTGGATCTATTTTAGCATCAAAAAAATTAAAAATATATACATTTTATTTTGAGCTACTAAATACTTAGATATGGCCTAATTATTTACATACAATGCATTCAAATTTTTTGTTTTCCCGGACTAATTGCTAGGTTTATGGGTGGCAATAGACCCAGATCTGACCCAGGACCTAACGGTTAGACCCGACTCAAGTATGGGTATTGGGTCAAAAAACTGAACCCAGCCTGTCGGATACATGTCTAAATCTTGGACTTGAACACTATTCGAGCCTGGGTCCAGGTCTGGGCCCCACTTTAATTTTTCGAGTCCCAATTTATAAAATGCATTTAAATATATTTAAAAATATAAATATTTTGATTTTTAGGTCGGATCCTGGTCCATGCCCAGGTCCGGCTGTTGCCACCCCTAGCTAGATCGAGGATGATATATCCCAAAACTTGAGGTCCAAAAAATATTACTAGATAGGGAGTGAATGAATGATGTGGTTAAGCCAAGAAGGAGATTGATTTATTGGCCCGCGGAGGTGGACAACATTTTAATTGGGTGTCACAAGGTAGTATACCCGAGTTTTTTAATTTTTTAAGTGTCACTTGATTGTGGAGTTTATTTTCGTAGGAAAAGTTTACAAATAAACGATGTACTTTTGGTAAAGGATGTCACAGTCATCATTTTTCAAATTGGTGTGGTGAGAATGTCATTGATTAGATTTAAAATTCATAAAAAAAAATCTAGATTGTCCAATATTTTGATATATGATGGCTAAAAGTATTTGTGACCTCGTTGTAACAAAGATAAATGGTCTTATAAAATCCTTTTTTCATATGCACTTTACATATGCGTTCGTTGTTAAGTAATACAAAGCAAAAACTCAACATTTTAAAGAGAAAAGGAAAAAAAAAGGAATGGTTGTTTCTAAAAATATAACATCCCAAAACTAAACAAAGGCTTTTTTTTGTGGAGGGCAAGGTCTATGAAGAACTCAAAATCTTTTCTTCATCTTTCTTTCTTTTTTTTTTTCTGTTTGTTTTAAAAAAAATCATTAAAGTGATGGTTAAATTGATCTTAAAGATTTTTCTTAAAAAAAATCCTGCCAAATAGGTATTTCGCCTGAGGGGGCAAGTGTACAATATGCTCTCGCAGGAGGATAACATAGATTATCCCGCCACCAGTAAACTAGAGTATATAGTTATTTCTCCTGTTTATTTGCAGTCGTCTATAGAAGACAAACGCAGTTTCACTTTAAAATTTAGACTCAATATGCAGATCTATTTGTAAACTTCGAGCTTGTTTATTGTTTATTCTTATTTAATGGAAAAAGTTTATATAAGGTTAACATATTAAAATATAGAA